CAAACCTGTTCAGTCAATTCACAATCCTCAACAATTCAATTCAAACAATCAATTTAATTCAATTAACCAATTTAGCCAAATTATAGCATAAACACATATAACGATCCAAACCATTAAATCGATTCTGAATGCTATTAACTTCATAGTACGGACCTGGATTACGTCGAAATCGAATCGATAGCTCGAACGGAAGACAAATCAACGAAATCAACCGAACGGGTCAAATCGAGTCAAAATACGAAATCGACCAATCAATCCGGCGTGGGGGTTGATCTGCCGGCGATATCAACTCGGGGCAGCGGCCGGATGCGGCGACGGTGACGGACGCCGGCGACAGTGGCGGAGCGGCAGTTCGACGGCGATGAGCAGCGACTGGCGGCGCTGCAATCGACGGCGGGGAAGGACGCCGGCAGTGGAGGCGACGTCCGGCAGAACGACGAGGCGAACCGTCGTCGGCGGCGCTGGGCAGCGACGGCGATTATGGTGGTCGCCGGTAGGGGAGGCGACGGACTTCCGGCAAAGGCGAAGCAGCGGCGTCCGGCGTTTGGCGACGTCCTCCGTTTGGCGTGGCGGCGCTGCACCCGTCGGCGGTGATGGCGGCGGCAGGTGGCGAAGGAAGCAGCGGCTGACTTCCGGCGACGGGCGACGACGGCTGGAGGCGAAGGAAGCAGCGGCTGGCTTCCGGCGACGGGCGATTGGCTCCAATTGGACGGCGACGAGGAGCGGCGAAGCTGGGGAAGGCGACGACCGGCTGGGCGGCGGGCTTCCGGCGGCGAGGGACAGCGGCTCTGGCTTGCGCGACCGGCTGGGCGGCGAAGAAGAAAGAAGAAGAAGAAGAAAGAAGAAGGAAGAAGAAGAAGAAAGGAGAAGAAGAAAAAGGACGGACGAAAGATAAGGTTTGTGTGGTTATGTTTATTTAATGGTCCCATTCCAAAAAGGATTGGGATTCGGACCCAAAATACCTGATTAAATGGTCATAACTTGAGCTCTGTAACTCCGATTCGCGAGCCGTCTGAACCGACGCGATCACAAAAATATTTCCTACGAGATGACATAAAAGTTGGGCTTAAAATCCAAATTATAATTTTAACCCCTTATTGGGCCCAATTCGTAATCAATTGCTCTAACAATTTAATTAATTCATTTGGGCCAGATTTCGGGGCGTTACATGAATCATTTTCAAACGCAGGGCCCTATTAGGATAGTTTCACATTCAATTATTTACTTATGTAGCATGAATAGTTTCACATTTTCTAACGCAGGGCCCTATTAGGATTGTTTCTTAATAATATTTTTCGTAAATTTTGTCAATCACCTTGTGTTAAGGAAATAATCTATTCTTGGAAATCATATCATACCATTCATGGCTATGCATGAATCATTTTCTAACGCAGGGCCCTATTAGGCTATGCATGAATTCCTTGGTAAAGGATTAATATATGTAGCATGGTCCTAAAATTCCATTTAAATTAATTAAAAATATTATTTTTTTTATTTTTTAAATAGTATTTATATTTTTTCATATTTATTTGTAATTTTTTATATTATCATCGTAATTGGAGTTCGTATTGTTGTAATCTGAATACATATATTTACATATAATATTACTGATTATCCAAGATACATAGGATTGCCATATATAAGTAAAGAGATCAAAAATAATATTAGTATTATCCAAGATACATAATATAAGTAAGGTGATAAATAATATAATCGTGATCATAATTTACAAATTTAGCATTATTTAGGATTGTTTCTTAATAAGATTTTTCGTAAGTTTTGTTAATGACCATATATAAGTAAGGTGATCAATAATTTATACTCATAGAAGTAAGACAAATAAGTAAGGAATCAATAATAGTATTGGATTTCTATTAGTATTGGTACTCTATTGATTTCAACCTATATATACACGAATTTTCATTAATAAATCTTTGTTACTTATTAATTTAAGTATGAAATTTATAAATATGGAAGTAAGATAAAGGATTAATATATGTAGCATGGTTCTAAAATTCTATTTAAGTTAAACAAAAATTATTATATTTCTTTTTTATTTTATAAATATTATTTATATTTTTTTGTATTCATTTTTAATTGTTTATATTGTCCTCGTAATAGGAGTTCGTATTGGTGTAATCTGAAAACATATATTAACATATAATATTATTGAGTATCCAAGACACATAATTAAAGATTTTCATATAGAAGTAAACGGATCCAAAATAATTTTAGTATTATCCAACATACATAATATAAGTAAGGTGATGAGTAATATACTCGTGATCATCATTTTCAAATTTAGTATTATTTAGGACTGTTTCTTAATAATCTTTTTGTAAAAAATAATATTATAATTTCCATTAATATAGGTACTCTATTGATTTTAACTCTTATTATACCCGAATTTCCACAATAAACCATTGTAACTTATTAATTCAAGTATGTAATTTTTAAATATGGAAGTAAGATAAAGGATTAATATATGTAGCATGGTCCTAAAATTCTATTTAAATTAAATGAAAAATATTATATTTATTTTTTAAATAGTATTTATATTTTTTCATAATTATTTTTAATTATTTTATATTATCATCATAATAGGAGTTCGTATTGTTGTAATCTGAAGGAAAGAATTGTGTTGAAGGTCAGTGATTATCGCGTAGAAAATCTACGGCTAATTATTTTCAACGGGAGATCCGCTGGTGCAACGTATATAATTTATTTCCGCTGGTTTACTCGGATATTACGTGGCATGCTTACATGTTTAAATTTTGCCACATAGACATGCCAAATGTCAAATTTCTGTGCATATGAGTCTCCTTTATTATATTAAAGGAATCTTATAGCATATGTATTACAATATTTAAGGAATTTACTTAAATAACACTAAAACATAATGACTTTCTCTAAATAACACCACGTGTGTTTTTTCTTTCCAATGTAGCACTTTTAGTCATGCATTAGTCATTATTCAATCAAATATTCGTCATCACTGGACATTATGGACATTATTAACTGTTATTTAAGAAAGAAAACAGTTTAAATACTATTTAGAGAAATGACTTAAGTTTTAGTGCTATTTAGTGCAAATATTTCATATTTAACGTAAAAGATCAAAGCATAACTACTTGGATAGAAGTTCAATCATTTTTACTTCTAAATAAAACTTATAATATAATGAAGATTAACTATTTAATACTAATAGAAGGGAGTCTAATATCAATTCAATGATGAATAAATCTAGGGGCATATCAAAATGGGGTACCTCATTTGTACACTAGGCAAACACAGACAAACACAAATACTTGTCAGGTCTACAAATGGGGTACTCCATTTTGGTGTACCCCTAGCATGCTCCTTCATTAATACACTACATATTATCATCAAAATTTGTCATGAGATAAAGTTTTCGAGTGATGAATACCTTATGAACGAGGTTCCAAGTCCATTGAATAGAAGGACTCAAAATGAAGACTTCGATTAGGCTCGTGTCTAGCCACGAGCCAAGCCCATACCTAATGGGTCGTGTATGGAGAAATATGTTGAGCTTGACGAAAGCCCATGGTCCTACATAAATTAGGTGAGTGTGGTATTAAAAACTAGATGTCGGCCTAACTAAGCCAACGACTTACCATTTATTTTAGTAGTTTAACCTGGTTACTGGGGATGGTCCAGTGTGTAGGTCGGCCCAAGCCCATTAATGCTTATACTGGTGGGCTTGCTTGCACACACGCACGTCTCTTTTGTGAATTTATTTTCTCTCTTTAGATTCACTTTCTATCTCTGACCTTAGTTCACATAGTCGTTCATCTAATGACAAATATATCATGATTATACACCAAGTAGTGTATCCCATTTGCACACTATTGACCTTAACTATTGTTTTTTTTTCATTTTTAGTTTTTTTTCTTCTATTGCATTTGTGTGGTGATGGAGGTGGTACATTTGGGATGCACTCTTTGGTGTAACTCTAACATTTTTGTTATTACTAGTATTTAACTCGTGCCACGCACGGGGTCGAACACATGTTATTTTTAACTCTGCTAATTTTTTTGTTTTAAGTAAATAATAAAAAATAAATTTAAATGTATTTTTTTACTCTTTTATGTCGAAGTACATCTTTTCGGCGTGCTCCTGCATTTTTGGACAGAGCCCATTTATTGTTTCCCTGACTTTGCCCAACTGTAATCCAAATTTTGCTTATTATATAATTTATTATTTTATCTTTAGTATTCATTTTTAAAATTAAAAATGGTAAAAATTGGGGTAATGCTAAAAAGGGTGAATGATAACATTGAATAAAGTTAATATAATAGTGTATAGCCAAGTAATGTTGCAAAACCAATTTTTTTTCTTTTCTCCTTTTTAATTGGTCTCTCCAATTTTCAAGTGTGGGCAATCTAACCTGATTTGTATATGTGGGCAATCTAATGCATACCAAAAATATTTTATATCAATAAATCATCATCTTAACTTCCTATAACTTTGTTTTTTTAAAACTTCATAAATATAACTTAATAAATGAGTAGTTTTCTTTATTTAGTTTTCAATCATAAGATTTTTGAGGAGTCGAGTTAAAAGATTTTTGAAAAATTTCGCGATTTTTTTTTGTAATAAGGTATTTTCCAAAAGTAATTTTATCATGAAAACATGTCTAATGCATTCCTTTATATTTGAGATATGTTTCCTAATTACTCTTTTATATTTGATCTCGCGTTTTCCATATTTTTTATGAATGAGATCTATTTTCCACTATAAGTACAATAGAGTTAAAAATTTGAGTACTTATTAATACTTTAGATAAAAAAGATAGCGGAAATAAACCCTATTTAAGCATCATTTTTTATTTTACACTTTTATTTAATTATACGTCTAAGAGAAATAATTTCATTTGGTAAATAGTTTAATTCAAGACATTGTTCATGAATGAAATTAGTACAATAGTTTCATTCTATTGCTAGTTGATTAATACTATATTTTCAATCATAGAAAAAATATATTTAGTTATGATATAAAGTTGGGGTTGTATGAATAATAATTTAAACGACATCAAATTATGACAACATTTTATTATATATACGTCTTTCCAATTCTAATTTTTTTTCAAAACATTACATATATTTGGAAAAAATGTAATGTACTTATTAAAAGAGGTCATGGTAGATTCACATTACCAAATGAAATTTATATTATTAATTCATCATCTTAACTTCGTATAATTTATTTTGTCTGTTAAAACTTCATAAATATAACTTAATAATAAGCAGTTTTCCTTTATTAAGTGTTCAAATATAAGATATTTCATCAATAGACATTAATTTATGAAGAATATTCTTTTTGAGAATTTTCGCAAATGAATTTTGAGAATTTTGAGAATTTTCGCAAAACTTATTTTTGTAATAAGGTTTTTTTCAAAAGTATTCTTATCTTGAAAACATGACTAATTTGTTCATTTATATTTGAGATATTTTTCCTAAAAATTTTTTTGCATTTGAAATGTGTTCCTCTGATTTTTTATTAAGGAGATCTATTTTCCACTATAGATATCCAAAGAATATTTTTTTATTACTTATTACTACCATAGATGAAAAAGAACATGAAAATACCCCATACAAATATTTTTTTATTACTTATTTTTTCATTTTACACTTTTATTCAATTATACATCTAAAATTATACATTATTGATGTTAAATAATTTAAATTGAGACATTTTTTCATGGATGAAATTGGTACAGTAGTTTCATTCTATTGCCAATTGTGTAATACTTTAATTTTCAATAATGGAATCAATATATTTAGTTAAAAGAAAAAATTGGGTCTGTATGAATCATGGAAACTTACCAAAAAAATATGTGAGGCAATATAGAATCAATGAATCAAAGAATTACGGAACATACAACTAATCAAGGTAGAATTGATCAAATGGAAGATGGTATGCACGATAGAATTAGGGAAGAAGAAGAATTAAACATCAATTTAGGAAAGAAAACCGGTGACGGAGAATACCTAATTGAGGGAAGAATCGGCCGAATCCAGCGTTCCCTTTGAAAACGTAGATGGGTTAATTAAAGATGGGTTAATAAGAAGACACGTGTAAACTGATGTGGCAGTAAACTACAACCTTTCA